GCACTTTATGATACAAAATTATATTCCGAGAAAAAAAGTAGGGTTCATCATGTCAAGAGTTGAGTAAAGACGACAGTAAAAGTCGAACAGGAGATGCTGAAAATTCCGGAATTTATTGCCAAAGATAGCAAATACACCAACACTGAATAAAAAATAAATATCATCAATGTATGATTAAATTATAGAAACCAAATTCGATTAAATTCAACGTATTTATCAACTGATATATAAATTAGAAACAAATTGGTCACCAGACAAATTATCAACGATAGCGAAGACATTTGGATAGATGATTCTAAAATTAGCGGAACTGTTTTAGACAGAAATGGAGACTGACCATTACAGAGCACGAGGTAGTATATCAGATGTCGGAGTGTTATTGTAACCCTGGCATCTATCTCGAATTGTATCAACGTTTAACGACAAATTAATTTATAACGTTAGGTAAAATATATGACGGTCACACTTCCTGTGGACATAAAATGGCCCGAAGAAAACCCATCCGCCGTCTATACCTTGTCAATATAGTTCTACAGACGTCCGGCGTTGGGCAGGGACTCCGTCACCGCGAACTGAAATAGCTGTTTGACTTCCTTTGCGAACAGTGAAGGTGTCAGCCATATTCATTGTCGGAGCCTACCCCAAGGCATCAATTTGTGATTGAAAAATTCTAGTGAAAGAAATTAGTTTATATTTGAATGATTGAATGTCCTTAACTCTTTAATCCTGTCTCTAGCATTTATCACCTTTTAAATGGGTGAGGTGGCTAACAGCCTGTTATTTGGGCGTGCGGACTTGCTGGATCTTCAGGCATGCTTCGACAACCTCATCGCTCTACGGCTTTGTATTGTATAATTACAATTTTCATTACATTTAATTGTCAGTGAAAGGATTTGACTTTAAGCAATGATAGTCTCTCGACTTCAATTCGACAAAATTAAGAATTACCCGTTTATTTGTAATTGTCATGTAGTTCTATCGATTAGCATCACTTCGCCTTGAGTGCGGTCCTGTCCTCCTGCTGTGCCCCTTGTACGCGTGCGCCAAGTCGTCACCAGTCTCGTGTTTGTCTTGTTGTTTGTTTTCACAGTTTAATCGCCGTTGACGACTTTAAGATGTTACACAAAGGAGCAATGAAGCGTCGGCGATGAAGGAAGGGATCCCTTCTTCAAACCGAGCACCTATTATTGGGATAGCTTGGTAAATGAAGTGTCATTACACATAAAGAATCGCTGACAAGCATAAACATCGGGTATCGACGATCTCATTCTTCATGTCACTAACACTTTTCATTTCCAAGGACGGCCTAATATAATCACTATATTCAGCACGTAGTCAAATTGCTTTCAAATAATAGGGTACAAAAAGAGAAATTTACATCTGACAAAACCCGCGAAAAGTTTTACTCTTACAATTGGAAAAATGGCGGATAGCTGTAGGTAAATAGATGTAGTGTCTATTTGGTTAATGAGTGCAACGCCATCGTTGGTTTGGGATCGATATCGTAAGTCTGTGAAAATCGATCTGTCCACAACACCCAATATTACAACGTCTGAAAAATTAATATGAGTGTCTCACAAAAGCGCTTTATTCGGACGCATGTACTCTCTGTCTGTTCGTCCGTCTCCGCGTGTCTCTCTCCCTCTCTCTTCCTCTTTCTCCCCCTCCCCCCCTCTCCCTCTCATACCCTGGACAATGTTAACATTTAATGTTTGGAAAAGAATGGAAGAGTTATTAGCAAGCATTCATCAACACACAAATTCACATTGTCCAATCTTTGTTGAAAGATAAAAACTATTAGTCCACAGTCGCTGGAATGGTTTATGCCAAATTATTGTTTAACAATTCAATTTTAATTACAGATATGGAATCTGTGCAATATATTTTTTTGTGTATTTCTTTAGCGTTTTTGCACGAATGATTAAAAATATTTATCTATATGATAGATATATATATATATCATTTGAAAATGCAAGACTAGTTTTGTTATTATGTGACCTTTGTTGGACCCATGTGTAACTGTGCGTGCTATTACATATCTACATCAACACGTGACTATATGTACATATGATTATCATTACATACACGCCAAATGCCCTTTACACTTTGTGTTCGACTGCACATCTAACGAAACTGCGGGAAAGACAACGCATATCATGTCTAAAATGAATTCCGTTATCCGGATTGAAAACTGTTGACCCCTTCATTTGCATACTTAATGAACTACGGCTATTCTTGTGCACGAACACTATACAGGCCAAGATGGCGTGAAGTCGTAAAAAATCCCGATTGTTGACAATCGCTGGTTTGTTGAAAGAAAATCCGCAGAGCACGAGAGAGTATTTTCCTTTGATAATGGAAGTGTGAAACATCTAAATAATTTCCTATTATACGTGAATTAATTTTCCGTCTCGCAAATTTTCACAACCGTGCAAACCTATAATTAGAATAGCCCTACCTGTAGGAAGGGTAATAATTACACCGTCGTTATAAAAACTAACTCCTGCACACCAAAACTACCACATATTTATTGGTGTACCGAAGTGAACTGCAGGCAAAATTGACTTCGATAATGATTGATATGCTTTTTGATTTAGTGGTTGTGTGAAGTTATATGACCGTATCATTCATGCAAGCACACTCCATACCCCCAGATCTAAAGTACAAACATAATATACGTTTCCCTTTCCTATTATTTATTTATTTATTTATTTATTTATTTATTTATTTATCTATTTAATTATTTATTTATTTATTTTTGAAAGCTATACAATTTTTCTACAAAATTCTATCTTGCGTACACAATTAACCGAACTCTGAAATTCACTTCCTTCACAAAGTAAGGTTTCAGTTTTTCTGAGTAAAAATGGTGCAACTCCAATATTATGACCAACCAGAATTATAACATATGAATTTGTTCTTCTGTTATCATTTCTACATAAATGAAAAAATTCTGCGCTCGATCAGTTACATATACCTGACATTTTTGTGATATCACGAGGAGTAGCTTTTTTTAGATGTTATTTCCCTGTGAATAATTTACTTTGAGAAATCAGCTGGTTGATTTAGTACATTCTAGTGGAAATTTTCATTATCTATTTATTGCAAATATAATTAATAATTTTCTTTCTGTAGATGCAATGTAACTGGTTAATTTATATTTTATTGTGGACAATAGCATTTCATTCCAGCGGATAATTTTAATGTCAATTGTCTTTTCTGTCGAGAATTTAATCACTTTTTACTGTAGTGGTACTCTCCTTACAATATTTTTGAATTAATAACATTTTTCTAATGCCAAATCTATTTTGAATTATAAATACTTATGTATTTTTATAGTTTAGTTTGATGTAGTTTTTTTTTTAATCTAATATTAACTTTGAGGATAATTTCATTATTTTCTTTACTGTGGATATCTGTGCAAATTACTTTTAAAAAATGACTCAAAATTTCGAAATTGATTGCAACGAACTGGTATCATGAATATGACAGTTCCAAGACATGTTATGAAATTGAATATTTTCCATAAAATAGGGGTTGCAAATTTAGCGTGTTAAAGGCGGAGAATGCCTGTCAAGATAGGCGACTCCACGACACAACCTAGAACCGCATCCCTGTCAAAACTCCATCCTATTAACATATTGCGATATATACACTGACAATTGTATATACGAATGTCTACAATACGGAAGCTGCTTAGCATCACCAAATTCATTGATTTTCTTTGAATGTTATTTCAAAATTAGTTTTTTTCTGCGTTTGTAAATGATAAGCTGTAATACTTTACACATTATCGCGGCGCCTGAAACGTCGGTGGGTATTAATCGATAGTTTAAGTGATGGCGTAGGGTGGAATGTTTAGTAGAATTCTGAAACATTCCGTCACAAACTCACTTCATTAGGTCGTGTATATAACAAAGAAAACGGAGACCGGACAGATTAGATTAATTACCGGCAGTGAGATACATATTACGGGAAACCATACCACCGAGTCAGTACTTTTTTTTTTTTAGGAAAATCGTAAACTTGACCTCCACACATTTTATAGCTTAATTACATATCTCTAATGGATAAATTCTATAAAGTAAACTTTAACCTTGGCAATGAGACTAAATTGATATGTAGAACATATCCGCTGGTTATTTGATTTTCGTTATAAAACCTTTCCTATGTTTATTTTTTTTTAGTATGGTGTGTTTTCCTGTTGTAAATATATTATACACCTAGTGTATCTTCTCACGATATTGGCAAGATATGAAGGGTGGGGTGGGCGGGCCAGGCAATGGGGGTTGGGGAGGTGGATGAGTGATATTTGAATCTGCTGAACAAAATGGTATATTAAATGATAATAAATGGAAATCATTTGAGATATAGAAAAGCCCAAAGTAGTACTAACTACACATTCCGTGTATCTTTTAATCGTCGAAGAAAGTGTTTACAACTTATGTAATTGCTTTTTGCTGTCTTAATGGGCCATTTCAAAATTTAATATAAATCAATAACGCGTGTACTACAAACAAATAATGTAATATATGTTGTTGAGGGTATTTAATAAAGAATGTTCCATATAAGGTAAAAGCAGATTTTAATTGTTTGTAATGCACCAATTCATAAATCAAATATCTCTCGATTTTTCGATATCTGGTCGTATTAGATCTATCTCACTATAAAATATCTAGCCGTATACAGTCTGTCTTATCGTCCAATATCCAGTTTTACAAACACTCCGATCTGGTCTGATAAAGTCTGTTCAACTTTCCAATGTCTACTCTTATAAACCCTCCAGTATGTTGTATTATGAAGTCTGTCTCAACGTTCAATAGTTTTGCAGCCCTTACAATATCTATTCTTTTTAAATCTGTCCTGCCTTCCGATATCTAGTTTCATTAACCCTCCAGTATTTGGTCTTACCAAGTCTGTCTTATAGTCCAATATCAAGTCTCATGAACAATCTAGTATCTTCTCGTCGTCAGCTATAAGTCTTATAAAATCTGTCTTACCGTCCGGTCTTTGTGATGATCATCTCTGTACCCAGCTCGTGAAATTTGTCCCACAAATCTTTGGTTTCTAGACAGCACTGAATTCCCGCCATTTCCTTGCTGCACGCGGGGGAAGTACTGGTGCTGACCTCGTCAATATCCGTGCTCGGTTCAGATTTTATTTTATCTTCGATGGGTGGAGTGAGGGGATATTTCGGCACTGGCGATGCAGAAGTAGCTGTCTCCACTAATTTTTCTGTTTGAAAAAAAAATTGTACATAATAAATTTCAAATATACATATTATATAATAAATTTCTACCATACATATTACATAATAAATTTCCACTATAATGTTATATAATAAATTTCCATATTTTCTTACAAATTGCTCATCATGTTCGAAGCATAAATTTAAGTCAATTAACTTTTTATAGCTTTGAAGTTAATACTTCATTGAAGAACTGAAAATGAAAGTAAAGGGGAAAAAAGAGGTATAATCCCTTAAAGCCATTCTTTCACAACGAAATTATGATTTAAAAATATATACACACATGTTGAGATATGTAGAGAAGTGATAGGTAACACACATGTTCAATTTCTATAACTCGGGGTAACACATATCCATAATTTGGTATAAACTTACTCAATTTTAAACTCAGACGTTCAATAACACAAATGGTAATGTATGATCAAAACTAATCAATCTAAATGAAAACCATTATCACAACTGCATTTTTCTCTACGTTTTCTTCTAAAAAGATTTATTGTGAAGATTATAATGTCCAAATTCGTATTATGAAATTAGAAGACAATATTGACGACTTCTTATATCCACACGCATTAAAACCAGCCGTAACACCTAGATCTCAGAAACAGTGTATCTTATATGATGAGCAATTTAGTACATATTTAATTTACACAATCATAGATACAAAATTATATGTGTGAATTGATAATTCACCACACTTTCTGCCGATATAAATGAATATTGATTAATTTCGAGAAAACGAAGATGAGGCATGGAGAAGATGGTTTTGGAACTGGAAAGTAGATAATCCTTACAATTCAAATTTGATAAATAAAATTGGAAATTTATTAGAAACAGGAAAGATAAAGGTAATAATTTGGAAACAGTTTCTTTATTTATATTGAATCCTATCCCAGCTCTTGATGTTTACTTAATTGAAATACTTACACGGTGAAGATAGACAGAATGTATACATGTGTGTATTTTATTTTGAAAAGTGAGTTGAAGAAAAAAATCCTTCCGAACTAACGTGTTGATGAGCATTTCATCATTTAAGTGCTTTTAAGATAAATACAAAAGCATGTCTGGCTATTTCTGGCCGTCATCATGTGAGAATTGGACAAAACACAGGCTGGTATCATTAGCCCTGTGCTAACCCCCCGTAGTACACAGCTTTCACGCTAAATTGAGCAAAGAGACAACGCGAGGGAAACACTACCTCATAGGGGTTGTGTGTCGAAGAATATCTTACTTAAACACGGTGTTTAAATAGCCGTATTGCGGCGATAGTTTTGTGATGTTTTCGCTGATACATTTGTACAATTTACACAGACAGGTGAGTATGTCATAGATAAGAAATAAACAAAGAATTTCAAATAATAAACACGTTTAACACCTGCTAATCTTCATTTTATTGAAATTCTGATTGTAATACATTTGATATATTTAGCATATATATTACAAGATAAAAGGAAATATTTTGATAATTCCTTGAACGCAGAAATATTTGATTTTGAAAAGAATTATTAAGAAGTTAAGACTTCTGAATTTGGTTGCAAGAAATTTATGACCGTCCATGAATGGTATATAATAATACAAGTTTAATTGTACTTTCATAAGTAAACAATTTTTTTTCATCTATCAATCCTAAAAACTAAATTTGGTCTTCAAAGTATATTATGATCGAGAGGAATATTAACAGTTGTGAAGTTTCGATTAGGAACATATGCAGTGATAGAACATTTCTTTGTGTATGTAAAGGCAGACATGATCAACAATAAAACATTAACTGATTTCTTTTATTTAAGATTAAAATGTTCAAGCAAGGGGAATGACAAACAAATTTATAATAGATAACGAATTGTCAACACAGAGAAAAAGACAAATAAAATTACATGATATTCGTGAAGTAAAAGTCGCCAAAATTATTTAGATATAAAATTCAAAGATTGCTTTCAAGAAAATTATATATTTTGATATTATTCCGTTTTGTTTGTTAAACAGATATCTATATTCTGTATTTATGGATTATAAATAGCTATTCAATACACAATTTACAGACTCTTTTCTTAAATACATGAACATATTTTATTTATATACTTTTACGCTGTTTAACTACAAGAAATTCATTAATGAGTATTAAAGTCAGTATCTGTGGCAAAATGTATTCACGTTTACAGATTATGAGATGCAGCGTTAAAAAGGAGTTTAAAAAATATTCTCAGTTTTATACAATAATATATGTATTTACAGAATGATTTAAAAGCAGAGAGGGTTAAAGCAGGACAAATCGGTAAAAAAAACCAATTCTAAACATATACTGTGCATTGTACATTGACAGTAGACCAGAATAGGTCATCCTGATTGTTTGGGATGTGAGTTACCAGCATCTGTATCTATATTATATCATGACAAATAAAGGAATCCGTGAATTCCCGTCCCCCGGGGCGGCTTACCTAGGGGTGCAATCTGAGTTTCCCCACAGTCCTCAGTTCTGTCATGAGGAGAATCGTCTTTAGGGGTATTGTCAGCATCCGCCTCTCGTCCCATCAGTGCTGCTATGGAAAAGGCCGTGGCTTTGGACGACAGCAAAGCTTTGGAAGGGGACACTGCCCTTCTGTCCCCGGGATAGCCATCCACACACGAATTGTCATCAGAGAAATTATCCATCCTGTTAGAAAAAAGGTTTTCTTCAACGTATTTTGTCAATATATAGTATATCAAACACTATTTAAACAGAAACACTTCCAAACTTGCAGTCTTAGGGCTCATCTCTTCCTGGTTTAAACACCTACTGTAATCGTCCCACAGTTGGAAATAGGTAAACATTTACAGATTTTAATATATATATCTACATAACTATCATCACTGGAATGTTGGAGAGACAACAGGTTTATTTTGACTGCTGTCAAACTCGGACCGTCTTACGTTGACAATATCACTGCTCTTCTATCACATATTGGCATCTTAAGTTACGCTAATTTCTGCACTTCTTGTGTGAAGGGATCCCATTGGTGCGCGTGCCAGCGGTTTACACCAACCACAGCGCGGTTGGGGTGGGCCCGCGGGCGAAACAGTTCGACTCGATGGCAATTAATTGGTTGACGATACCATCGCCGGTACACACATACACACGAGCGGGTCTGGTTTATAACCTAAACGTTTACAATACTTTAAACAAAATATGTGACAATTCCTAAATGGTTTGGTGGGTTTAGGAGCGTGAAGATAAAAATATGAATCGAAAACGTGCGAGACCCGGTGCTTATAATTCCGGATCGAGCTATACAAACACTGATAACTATCTGTAATGATGCGAAGGGTACTTGGTAAACATGAATTACGGACAGGTAATTATCTCAGGTGAGATAACGCTAATTCACTTATCTCAAGAAGATATGTGCATAATCATTTAATTCAATTTGAAATTAAAAAAAAAATACGTACTAGTTAAATAAAATTCTAATTACCTGTTGAAACAAAGATTTTTTCAATATGACACGTATTTCAATTTTATGAAATCTAATGACGGTTAATACTTCTTCTCAAAGTGAATTTATACATCGTTAATAAAATGTGTGTATGTTATATATTTTAAGCGATCAAGGCAATGTAATGCTCTATTAAGTATAAAATTATAAATTAAAGCAAGGATACAACCCATCGTTATTTTTAAAAATGAATAAAAAAAAAAAAAAAAGAAGAAGAAAAAGAATTCCTCCACCAGTAATGTAAAACTGAATAAAAACAGTTTACTTTTCTTTGTGAAAAAAAATTAAAATAAAAGATACACACATATATATATACATAGAAATAGAAAGAAATTGATTTCCATAAAATCAGCAAGAACTTATTGACTTGTCAACGGATTTCTAATCCGAAATTTAAACCAACGAATCGTGGTCAGGTATAAACAGAAGAACGATTTACATGGAGATCGCTGTAAAACATATTATACCAATTATATCACATTTTAGATAGACGAATTTGATCAATTTAAGGTATGTCTGATGTGAGAACCAACCAGTTCTTTCACTCGATTTGTTCGCCAGGTATGTTGACGTCCAAACGTTTAATACATTTTTAAATGTTCGCATTGTATTTTTTTCTCAGATTATTGAGCATATTAAGTCGTTTCAAACAGACCATTCGTGTTTGTATGTGCTTTACACATTGAGCTGGTAAACAGGTGAAATATTACTCCAACCCCTGCCCTGTTACTCCAGCGGAAAAACGGCCGTCACAAAGTTCTCTCCTCTCGCGTGTAGCCTCCACGAGATCTTGTCATAGATATGATTGTCAAACGAGATCGCAAGCGAGATGTTATTTTTAAGTTGTAATCAATATGTTCGGGTAACAGAAAATTATAACGTTGATTATATATTTTTTTGTGCGAAATCATAAGAAAAAAAACTCCACAACAACACCATGTTTGACCGCTTAATTTTGGAACAAGCCGGTCAGGATATTGTGTATTCATCCGCACCGATTATTGTGAATGTCGTGGTGATGTGTCACAACGTTGCAGTGTTATTGCGCGGTTTTGGGACTATATTTAAGTGGTTGATCTGTCACCTCTGGATGGGTCCTATGTCATGTTTGATGTACTGAAAATCACCACCCGAATCACGCTCAGCAGTATTGCACATGCGCATCCTCTATTTGCTTGTGGCAACTACGAATTATCTCAATAAGAACTAACCACTCGATTGGACGCGCACCATTGCACACTGGCCATCAGAAAATCTTTGTAAAGAAAATATGATGTAATTTAGTAGAAAAACACATTATTTAAAGAAAAATTGTCATGGTTGTTAGTTTAGTACCTAAGCGATGCTTTTGTATGAAATAATAACATAAGCAAATTAAGGATGATTAAACTAAACATTTAAGTTTTATTGCGAAATTTTAACACTAATTTCATGTACAACTATTTATTTGAACTCTACAACGGCTAATATAAAAAAAGGTATGTAAACATACTATGTGAGAGTTAATTTCGATTTTCGCCATAACAGTATCATACATGGACTACATATCTTACAATTCATTTGTAGATATCATATGCTTAAAAGTTTATGGAAAAAAAAAAATAGTGTTGAATATTTCGATAGACCAATATGTTTGTAAACCTACAAATTTCACAATGATACCATTCGGAAATGTCCTTCAATAAGATCAGAATAATTTCTGATTAGAAACATGTTCGCATGTCCAGGTTCTCGCAATTATTGAATAATGGCAGCACTTCGTTGGGTAAGTTTAAAACCTATGCATGTCTCTTAACATGCCATCAACGCAGTTGAGTCTACGTCATTTCAACGCTTCCCCTCCCGCCTCGGATAACAGAAGAACATCGTTAGAGGCAAACATTACCGCTTTTACGCAATCATAGATTACTAAAGACATTAAAACGACTGTTCTTTATCTATAACTGGATTTGTGTTGAAGCGGTGTTACTCTCTTGTGTGCCTTTGGTATTATCCTTGGATACTGATACAGATAGGTGGCAACTTTCTATTGTTGATGCACTTTTTACACCGCTGTCACTGGGATCTGATATGCCTTCAGCATTACTGTAACTGGGATCTACTGTATTGAGATAAATCACCATCGCTGTAACAGGATTCTACTATCTATTCAGCATTGCTGTAACCGGGATCTACCGTATGTTCAGCATTGCTGTAACTGGGATTTACAGTATGTTTATCATTGCCGTAATTGGGATCTACTGTATGTTCAACATTGCTATAACTGGGGTCTACTGTATAATCAGCATTGCTGTAACTGGGATCTACAGTATGTTCAGCATTGCTGTAACTGGAATATACCGGATGTTCAGCATTGCTGAAACTGGGATCTACCGTATGTTCAGCATTGCTGTAACTGGGATCTACTGTATGTTCAGCATTGCTGTAACTGGGATCTACTGTATGTTCAGCATTGCTGTAACATGGATCTACCGTATGTACTGGATCTTACATGTATTCATTATTGCTGTAACCGAAATCTGCGATGCAATCAGAATTATTGAAGCGGGGTTTCACTTAATTTTTCTTTCACTCGCGCCTTTCACAAAGGTGTCTGGTCACCGATCCTACAATTCGCGCCCCTCCCCCCCCCCCCCCAAGAAGTTCCAAATTTTTTACCACATTAAGACCACATGCGATCTTTCATACGGTACAGCAAACGGGAAATACATAATGTGTTTGTGCAAATTGATGTAAAATGTTATCCGTTGGTTTCATACGTCTAGTAAGTACAAGAAATTCACGGTGATTGAGAAACGTCAATAAGATTGCTTGAAAATCAATCAGATGAATAAGACACATCGGAAGGAGTTTGACCTTTGTCATCTGATACACAGACATGGTATGCTATAATCGGAGTGTTAACGTTTGCTGTAAGACCACGTACAACCCAGAGGAATTCCGGAAACCATCACACGTGACGTGTGTATCGCCATGTTGTAATATATCGTTATCCATCTTAATCATATCTCGGACAAAACATTTCAAACTTTTTTTTCTCATGTTATCTTATTGTTGAGTTCCAGAAAGACGAGGACATGTGATGATACATCACCCGAGCAAACCGCGGAGCGATGGCGCGGCCAGTTCCAGCTTCTGAATTCCTTCCCTAAATGATGTTTATTTCAAGCCGTGATGGATGAAGCCGCGCGAATGAGTTAATCCTGATTTGCACGAGTTGTATACGCCTGACTGCATGGTTCTTTAGAGCTCTATAGTCATACTCTTTACTGGTGCGGGCAAGTGACAAGAACGGTGTGACAACATATTTATACACATTGCTTATTAGACAACTTGTGCTAGAAAAACACGAGAACAGCTCACAAAATGGTAATTGATAACTCGAATATTCTGTACGACTACCGCCTTTCTTATAATAACTAATCTAAGAATTCGAGAATCATTTTCAATCAAGCGCTTAATGTTCCGACGAAGTGTCAAGGAAATGCTTGAAATTTACTGATTCGCCATTAAATGATCACTTCAATCTCCCGCTAGCGTTGTAACCTCTGTACCATTTTGCTATCGTTGATTGTTCTTTGGCTAACACATGCTGGCCGAACACGTCGCTTCGCTTCCACTGTTCAATACATCACCTTCTTGTAATTATACGCCGTCAAATGCTCGCTGGTCTTCTGTTAGTGCCGGTTCTATGAACGGAGTAATCTCTACATTTATAAAATCTATGAAATTATCACTAATCACAGGTTTTTCGGTAATTTTTCTGAGATGAAGATTTTCTTTTATCATATAACAAAGATTTATATTGAAATGGAGACAGTGTGTCAGCACAAATCGGTCGTAATTCAAATTTTACCCCTAACATATCATATAGCAAATATGGTATTAGCACATTTTCTGTCCAATAGATTTTTATTTGTGTCTTAAGCGACAAAACCCATTCGTTGTATAATACGCAGAACCGGCCGCCGGAGATTTATGATCCGGAAAGGGAGAAGATGATAGTTGAATATGACTGTTTCGCTAAGCGCCATGTTCCCAGTGCAAACTTCATTTATCATCACTGCATTATGACCATGTTTGTGCATGTCTAGAAAATAACGCTTCCGAGTTTATCAAATCAGTTATCCGTGAGAAAATGGTTTTTACTTTTTTGTAGAAGTGCCGTCGACATAACAA